ATTTTGTGATGGATATGCATTTAAAATGGTTAGGGGATATCTCAGCATAGATTTATGAAATAAATTGTTATCAGTAGACCTGTGTTTATGATTTGGAGAGCGCTCTAGCCTGTGGGCAGCAAAACTACTAATTCATCCACTCCTGTCCTTTCCTTGCCTCCCCCTCTATCTCTCGCTCAGCCTCATTCTTTTATACCGCCCTCAGCTTTCTTTCCTGCCGCCTTTCCTCAGTCTCCCACCCCTCTTTCTCTCGTAGCAAGCTATATTATGTAGTGTTCTTCAGTCCATACTGCATGTCTGAAACGGTTCTCGCGCATGCGTAATATCTCCAGAGAAGAAGAATATTTTGCAAAAATTATGCATTTAGAATAGGGAGAAGGTATTCTAGCATAGATGTATATAATAATATTTCACAAGTATACCTCTCTTGAGAAATAGGAAGAAGACTTCGCATGTAAGGTGCCCGCTGCATATACCAGTCAGTACACAATTTGGCTACGTTAGTGTGTTAGCGCATGCGCAATATCTCACCAGAGGAGTTATATTTTGTGATGGATATGCATTTAAAATGGTTAGGGGATATCTCAGCATAGATTTATGAAATAAATTGTTATCAGTAGACCTGTGTTTATGATTGGGAGAGTGCCCTAGCCTGTGGGAAGCAAAACCACTGATTCATCCCCTCCTGTCTTTCCTTTGGCCCCCCTCTGTCCCTCGCTCAGCCTCATTCTTTTTTTACCGCCCTCAGCTTTCTTCCCTGCTGCCTTCCCTCAGTCTCCCACCCCTCTTTCTCTCATAGCAAGCTATATTATGCAGTGTTCTTCAGTCAATACTGCACGCCTAAAACGGTGCTCGCGCATGCGCAATATATCCCAAGAAGAATAATATTTTTCTAAAATTATGCATTTAGAATAGGAAGGAGGTATTCTAGCATAGATGTATATGATAATATTTCATCAGTATACCTCTCTTTAGAAATAAGAAGAAGACCTCGCATGCAATGTGCCCGCTGCATATACCAGTCAGTACACAATTTGGCTACGTTAGTGTGTTAGCGCATGTGCAATATCTCACCAGAGGAGTTATATTTTGTAATGGATATGCATTTAAAATGGTTAGGGGATATATCTCAGCATGGATTTCAAGAATTAAATTGTTATCAGTAGACCTGTGTTTATGATTGGGAGAGCGCCCTAGCCTGTGGGCAGCAAAACGACTAATTGATCCCCTTCTGTCCTTCCCTTGCCTCCCCCTCTGTCCCTCGCTCAGCCTCATTCTGTTTTACCGCCCTCAGCTTTCTTCCCTGCCGCCTTTCCTCCGTCTCCCAACCCTCTTTCTCTCATAGCAAGCTATATTATGCAGTGTTCTTCAGTCAATACTGCACGCCTGAAACGGTGCTCGCGCATGCGCAATATATCCCAAGAAAAATAATATTTTTGAAAAATTATGCATTTAGAATAGGGAAGAGGTATTCTAGCATAGATGTATATGATAATATTTCATCAGTATACCTCTCTTGAGAAATAAGAAGAAGAACTCGCATGTAAGTTGCCCGCTGCATATACCAGTTAGTACACAATTTGGTTACGTTAGTGTGTTAGCGTATGCGCAATATCTCACCAGAGGAGTTATATTTTGTCATGGATATGCATTTAAAATAGTTAGGGGATATCTCAGCATGTATTTATGAAATAAGTTGTTATCAGTAGGTCTGTGTTTATGAGTGGGAGAGCGCCCTAGCCTGTGGACAGCAAAACTACTAATTCATCCCCTCGATCCTGTCCTTCCCTTGCCTCCCCCTCTGTCCCTCGCTCAGCCTCGTTCTTTTATACCTAAGTGAAAACTAATAGGAAGTATAAAAAAAGTCTCCTGATTGATATATATCAAGATATATATATATATAATAGCCTAAACTGAATATAGGAACCGCGACCGTATAGGTGGGGCGGAGTGACGTCACTTCCCCTTAGTAACCCGTCGATAAAATATAATATTTAGATAGTATCGTTGAATAAAATTGCAAATCCAGACATTTTTCAACGTCGTTTCAACGTCGATTGTTGACGTTGTTCGTGGGAGGGGGAGACGCCCTCCCACTTCGGTCGCTTCGCTCCCTCGCACACTATTGAACCACGTGTCCCCCCACTTTTTAAACTGAATTTGCGCCCCTGAATAGATGGACGGACGGACGGACGGACGGACGGACGGACGGACGGATAGATATGGATAGATAGGTAGACACACAAACAGACAGACAGACGGTTTTGAGCACCATTTTGAGCACATTCATTTACATGTAAATAGATACAATGTATAATCCCACTACCGACTGAGTGTTTGTGTGCGGCGGGCACCCTATCCGTCCACTTCAGCCCAGCTACACGGAGCTGCATATGCCCCAACCTGATTGGGAAAGAGTAGGATCACGGAGCGGACGCCCTCTTCCCCTAAAGTATACATACGTAAGGCATGGCCAGGCCAGAGATCACCTTCCTTAGCAGGATTCGCAGGATTTAGCAAGAATCCTATAGCATGCAAGCATCGCTACTGTTATTGAGTGGGGGTGGGGGGGTTCTCTGCCGTTGCTATCTCCGCCTAGGTTCGGTTGTTGTTTTAGGATGCAGTGGCGGATCCAGGGGGGGGGGGGCACAGGGGGCGGTCGTACCCGCTGAAATTTTCAGGGCAAGGGTATTTTAGCCTAACACCCTCCCCCCTCGGGCGCTTCGTGCCATTGAGCTCGCATGATTCGCCCCCCACCCGCACCTAAAATTCACTTGTGGATCCGCCACTGGGATGCTCTGTAACTCGATCTTCCATTCGCTGGTACTGTTTCAACGGCCGTGTAGACATGAGTTCGTTTTGTTCATCAGTATAGTTGTTTATTTCTATTTTTGCTCGTCTAGTACGTTTTGCTTTCTGTAGTAGAAGACGTCTTTTGTTTCTTTACCCTCGTTATTTGTTGCAACATATATTACACTGTATTATGTTTAACGGTATCATTTTGGTGTTAGTTCTGAAGATGGAATAGAGTGATCCTTGGGCCTATTGCCTCTTAGTAGATGAAAGCTCTCCGAGATTCTTCAATGGCACGAAGGTCTGACATGATGCAACCATGGCCAAGGTAATTTTGCTGGCCTACTCTATACCTTCCTCGCGCATTATGCTTCCATTGCAAGTGCCGATGTTCATGGGTACATGAAAATATTCTAAGATATTTACGCACGTACGCTAATAGAGGAAACTGTACAAATATACAGGACTAATGTTCTGTGACACACTCATGATGAAGAACACCGATTAATACCAAAATAGATATTATAGCATAGATAGGAACTTTATTCATACATGCTGGTTGTTGGTAAGAGTAGAACAAGTTGAGCTGCCTGGCGTTGTACTGTACTTCTACACGAAACAGTAAATTTGCACCTGTAAACTTACACATTCTTCAATAACTACAATGTCCCCGATTTTCTTTCAAAATTAGATATAATATCCATATAAGTTCGCTTTTCATACTCTTTATTCACATTTCGAATAACCATTAAGATGTGCCCTCTCTACCACACATTAGTGCACATACAATTGGCCATATAATATATATATATACATCATTCTCAAGAAATATACGGGTAGAATTAACCTTAAGTACAGTAAGGTAATTATACACTCAAGATGTCAACGCACTGATCCCTGTTAAGACAGTATAGATACAAGCATCTTCCGAGAATATTGACCATGCAAGAATTTGAAAATTAGATTTCATCAGCCATATCAGATTCACGACATGGCTAATCAGATCGATAGACACAAATTTCTCTTTATTGCAATAAAGTCTGCAGAGAATCTAAAGCCCGGCGCACATTGCCAAACATTTTGCTCAAAAACATTATCGTAGCAATGTTCCATAAAATGTTCGGCAATGTGCGGTGAAAAAAGTCGCCGAACATTTGTTCCGAACAATGTTTCCGATATTCTCGGAAGATCGGAAATGTTTGATATCTCGAACATAGTTCGTCGAATGTTCGTCAATGTGCGCTGAATGTCGAACAATTCTAGGAACATTTGTAAATGCCTATCACGTCGATTGGCCACACGCCGATCACGTGACTCTTTACAACACAGCTACTAGACGGCGCCACGAGGTTGTTTGCTGCAAAATGTTCGGCAATGTGCGCTCAGCAATTGTTCACGCGCACATTGCCAGACAAAAACATTTGTTCGGACGAACATTTGTTCGGGAAAATGTTCGGCAATGTGCGCCAGGCTTTAGGCTTTAGGTCAGATGTCAGACGTATGGCAATCTCTAGGCAAACAACATATAAGCCGTGCGGTGGAGCTAGGTGGTCAGAAAATAACCAAATTCCATAAACATACTGATGTGATTTTTCTTACAATTACCGAGCAAATACAGAGCCTGCCCATGATCAATTTTAAGTACTACTTGCAGTACATATCTTGGTTAGCCACGCAGAGTGATCGTGATGTAACGGATATCAAAAGTTCACCTTAGATGCTAAAATCAGCAGATAGACACAATTAGAATGCACTGACCAACTCAAAACGTCACTGTCAATAAAAATGCATCTTGGCATAGCATTGGCATCAACTACCACATCCTTCCCACTGCCTGTTGGTACCAATCAAAAGAATACAAATGTAATATTAGAGGAAACTTGCTTAACAGGCAACGCAGGAAACGCACTAATAATGTAATGACATACATTCTACAGAAATCATGAGAGACAGTACTTGCACATAAAGGCTTCCTATAGAACTAGTTGGGGTGGCAAGACTACTGCACTACTCATTTGCAGTATAAAGTATATGTTAGAAGACAAACTTGTAGAAAAGTATAAGGAAATAGGAAAGTACTGCTGCCATGACACTTAGACGTCAATGCAACAGAGTACTGCAGATTTTCCTCAAATTAAAAGAAATTCAGAATCTGGATGAACTAACCACGAACATGTTTATTTAAGTTATTATGATATTCATAATCAGGCTAAGCCTCTAACAAACGTGCTGGCTATAACAACATTCAATACGCATATCAATGACGGAAACACATGTTATGGTACCAGTTGTTATGCCGAAAGAAAAATTTTCTGCACATTTCAAATTGAGCTTCTCTGCAAACAACAGCAATTTTGTAGTTCCACACAGCCGGTGATAAAACCTGAACTGTATGGCCTCCCCTAAATACATAGGCCTATAGCCAAGGAGGTTTTTGGCATTTGTGCACCTCAACAATCCAATAGCGTGAGTTTATTATTTATAGTGTTGCGAGATTTTCATCCACGCCAGTAGTATAAACTCCTTTCAACACACGTCAGCCACAGAGCATCCATGTATGCCAGAAACAAACCCTGTTGAACAGCGCTGACAGAGTGAAAATTAATACAATAACCATCAACGTTGACCACAGTTACAGTTTATCGGTTGAGTCTGTCAAATCGGGCCCGTCTAAATGGATCACCAACGTCCTTCAGAGGCAAGCGCTTGCAGTTTGAAGGACATTTAAAACCTCTCATTCACGGTGACAAATTGGGAACGATTGTGCGTAATGATGGCTGACGTTGTATCAGTTTCCCCCCATCGCATAAATTCTCGTCCATTCTCTCGCTGAAAGAAGTAAAGAAAACAATTGTAGGTAACCCAAGGTCGAATTTATATATAGAACAAAAATGAGCAGAATGCTGTGCCGTGGATTAACTGTTCGTTTTAGAGAAGAGAAGAGCATGTTTACTAAATATATATCCAGTGTTTCCCCTGCATTGACACAAGCGAGGTGGGCCGCCTTGCTCAAATTCTCAGCCGCCACACAGAAATTTCTCCAAAACACCGCCTAACTGACGAAAATAACTGTTCTTCCGCCTTCAGACCCCCCCTAGCTGGGCGAGCACCCATGGTGCTTGCTTTGCTAGGACCTCAAAACGTGCAAACACACCAAAAACAAAATTACCACCTCACAGATCTTTTTGGCCAGGGGAAACACTATATCCAATACGAAATACGAGAGGCCTACTTTCACAGAGCTGCATGGAGTAGTATTTTAGGGTCTCAGTTTAACGTCACAATAATTCTGGGTATTACAGCATTCAGCAGTGGCTACTAAAAGAGAAAAAATCATTCCTACAGGAATAAGAATTACACATTCGCTAAAACGATGTTCTGACCTGTTCTGATGGCTTGGGCCTCATCTATCTTCCACTGTTCCGCAACATCATTAGCTAGAGGATCGTCGGGGTTAGGTGCACTCAGCAGTGCCTGGATGGACAGCAGAACTGTTCGAATTTGTAGTGCAGGCGACCACTTATCTTAAACAGAGACAAAACATGATAAAAGTGTACACAAATCCACAATTGCACAAAATTTTCGTTGGAATTGTTCGAATTATGTTGTTTATTCTTAATTCCGCAGCGTGGCATATCATATAATTTTTTAGACTCGCATGGATCCATAATGTTGCTTTGTCTTAATAAACTTTGAATTATGATAAATTTTACAATAAATTAGAAATAATACTTGGATGAATGAATGGATGAGAGAATGAATAAATGAGTAAATAAATGAATGAGAAGAATCAATTACAGGTACTTCACAATGATCTAGTAAGATGCACGTTGGAACTACTATCGCATTGTATACATGCAAAAATTTCCAAATTAAGAACCAACCTTTTAATATATCTAGACAAATTCTGCCAAGTTTGTCAATATTTGGATGGTAAATTTTTGTCATGAATCTAACTTTAGGAGCAGACATCGGATATTCTTCAGGTAAGAAGAGCTCCAGTTTGAAGACACCTCCTTCGAATGGGGACTTAAATAGAAAGGCGATATTAGTAACAGTGAGATTAAGAATAATACTGTAGGGAAAACCGAATATAGTCAGTATAGAGTTTGATTCATGACCTATTATTTCTCAAACACATCTAAAAATATCAGTAGATGATTAGTTACACCAACTTGGAGATTACTAAAAATGTATGCTGTTATTACGTAATAATTGTACGTTAATATAGTAAAAATAATAATTAATTATTAACGTTAATACGTTAATAACTTAATATAGTACGTTAATAATTGTAAGTTAATAACTTAATATAGTACGTTAATAGTACGTAAAATTGAATTTAAAGATAACAATGCACCCACGTTTTTGTTTGTACAGACAATTCACTTGTAAACACTGACACAGGCACAAGCTCACTTTAATTTTGACAAAACTGCATCGGATTTTACAATGAAAACTTTTAAAGAGCGGTACGTTGTATAACACATATACGAGAGTAACAAAGATGCTAGTCGTCCCTGATTTATCAGGTATCGGAAAACAAGTGCATTGCTAAAATTATGTGTGTTTGAAAGACAATTCTTATGCATAATATTCTCATCAGGACATAGGATGTTTTTGCAGCTCACAAAACATTTTGTGCACAGATAATTACATACAGTACAAGTAAGCATGCATGAGGAAATGTGTTCACCGCTTAATTGGAACATTTTCATGGTACCCGACCTGATCCAATAAATCGGGGACCAACAGGTGTAAAACAAAGTATGCAAATAGGGTACAAGCCTACAAGGTGTTCTTCATTACAATCTCCCAACATGCGAGAATCATGTGACATTCAAATACACACAAAAACAGACAACAATAAATACAAAGTTTACTTGAAATTGCAATTATTGACTATATTGGTAGATATAATAACGTGTAAGTGTCCTAAAACATGCTATCCTCACTCTATATAAGCAATAACAGTAAGTATCGGAACGGTCAGTTAAATAAGAGAAATAATAACTTTAAAACAGTTAATGAAAGTGAACGATTTGATAGATTCAACATCCATATTTGCATTAAAAAAACCTGTAATTTAACCTTATAGAAGTTACTAATATTCCTTTGTGACATACTTCCGCTGGTCCTGCCACGACTACATGGAAATATCTGGCATTTGATTCATCTGGTGTTGCACTGATTCCAGGTACTGGTTCTGCAAGCAATCTTTGTGTTTCCTATTGAGCACAAAATTAAGAAATAAATCAGCACCAATTTCGTGCATCTTTCGGAAAACTTCGTATTTGGACCATGGAGGCTTGTGATTACGCACAATAATTATTGCAGCGATGCAAAAAATTACACCACAGACATTTGATACTACACCTACCTGTAGTTGTCACCAATTTAAAAAAAATAGATATGCAACAATGTCAGGGCGTAATTTACTAATAATTATATCAAAAATGTTACACTGATTCATGCAGTCCGATTCACTTCCACCCAGGCCCTAATCTGAGTCACTCAGTCAGTACACTGTACATGGGCCATGGCTGTAGTACATAGTTAGTAGGCCATGGTAAAGTACAGGCTGTACTATAGCCCGACCAGGCTGTGCGACGGATTGTCTATACAGCCTGACACCCTTCCATACAAAAAACCTATCACCTCTGCAGATCGAGATGAATAACTCTGTATATCTCAAATAAAACTATTCCATTACCACCTTTGACTTGCCTTGTTTAAAATATGAACATTAACTCACAGTTGTCCTGCTTCTAAACTAGAATGTATCTCTTAATTCACGGTATAATCTGCTAATTCTCACAGCATATCAACTTTCAAATCAGCTTTAACCGCCATGTTTAGCAAGGCACGGAAAACCCGAAACGGAATAGACTCGCTAGAAAATACTACAGAAATAGTACGATGGCTCTCAAGGCAATTACACACCAAAGCAAGTGAAACGATGTTCAGAAATGTGTGGGCCATTTGTAAAAAACCTTAGATGACATGTTCTCGGATGTAGGGGTGGTTTACATGACGACCGCAGATCGTTTAATTTCCTTTGTTCGATCCATTGCGGATTTTAGTCACAGTCGGAATGATAGCAAACATGGTGGCAAATTCATAAATTTGGTTGCATTCGTCTCAAAAAGTTGCTGTAACCCCGTAAGTACCCAGCGCATCGTAGCGCACTGATGGTTACAAGAAGGTGGACGTTTACTGATTCATTTGGTATATCACATGTGTGGTGTTCTTTGGCGATACTTGGAATATAAGGCAACTACGTGTTTAGCTGCAGCCACGGTTTGAAACGGTATCCTAACCCTAGCGATACCGTTTCTTGGAGCTAGCTGTACTATTGATTGTTGCAATGGAACATAACATGACACTACAGTTATTCTATGCATGTTCCTGATAAATGTTTTATGGCCAAAGTCTAGTTTAGTACCCCGGATTATGATATGGTCATGGATATGCAAAAACACATTTGCGGGGTCCCAAACTGCCCATTTGTACCTATTCGCCCGATAATCAACGGCCCAATCCTAGTTTAGCACAACACGAGTCAGTCTCTACCACAGTCACTAGAGTCAAAACGGCCATACATTGTCATTGAATGTGATCCAAGCCGAACACCACACTGGCTGTAACACTGCCACTGGCGCTGAAGGGGTCGTTGTCGTATATTATATATTATATATATATATGTAGTACCCGAGATGTCAGCGAGTATGTCGCCTACGCCTACTCCCTAACCATAACCATATCAGATAGTTACCTCGGGTACATATTTGTACTACCCTATACGACAACGACCCTTCGTGCGCCACTGGCACTGGCTGTAACAGTAACACTGCCACTGGGGCTGGCAGTGGCACTGGCACTGGCAGTGGCAGGGCCAGTGACAGGCAAGTAGCTCGGTACCAATTAGTTTACAGCTAGACACTCACCGTCATGACTCTAAAATTAATACAAGTTACCTTGATTATTCGCCGCGGTAATCCAACAGACATTTCTCCTGCTAGTAAAAGTAAAACTATGAAAACGTTCTAGTGTGGTTTACTTGTTTGGAAAATTAATGGTTGCGACAACAACTGACCATCCAATACCGGCTATGAAGATGGCAGCACCATTTAGCAAATGTAATTTTTGTATTTACCAATGCATATCTTACAAGCAATATATATGCTATATATTATCAAGAGTATATAATGGGAGATTTATTCCTCACACTTATTATATAGCACACTTCTAAGATTGCGCGCATTTTCGTAGACGGTAATCGAGAAATACAGACAAAAGCACAGTTTTCTATGCTCACCGGTAGATGGCGGCAAACGTCTGTACGCGCAGGTACGCGTCTTAGCGACTTCCTGATGACTGATGAAGGATTGTCAGTGAGCTAATGTGTTTTTGTTGTTTAGTTTTGCAGTTTGCTGCTTCATGGCCATTGTTTGAGAAGTGAAACGTCTAACATCGTAAATAATAGGCTTCAAAGTCCAACGGACTATATCGAAGACGGAGGACATTGATCTGAAATTAACCTGGTGATGTGTGCTGTGAATCATAATTAGTATAGAGTTATCGTGAATCGAGTCGCTCGTTCACACTGTATATTGACACAAATGCTAAGTGACCAAATAGACGGATAAACGCCGCAATGCAACACCAAAATATTTATTCAGTAACTGTTACGTGTAAGTATATTATAGTATTACTTTTATTACAGTACCATTCAACTGCCTCGGGAGTATGTTGTCTAATTAAATGTGTATAAGAAGATACAGTATAAATATCAAGCCATAACTTATTAACTATCTTTTTTATGTTTCTTGAACTTTGCTGTACTATCGTAAATTGTAACCGATTCTACCTCGTCTCCTTATAAAGAACATCCTATAAAATGCAAGGAACTGTACCAAATAAGAGAGCTAAGGTTGATCAAATTGATAGATTAACAATCGACGTGGATATTCGTCCGAGCATCGGACACCTGTTCGTATGCGCTATTCATCCGAGCAGTTGTTGCGCATGAGCTGTTCATATTGCATGCCGCAGGCGCACGGCACGAGTGCCGTAGGTAGGAAGTGTGAAGGGGGGGGGGGTCTGGCAGGTCTCCCCTCAGACAATTTTTAAATTTAGATGTTCTAAAATGCTATTTAGTATTTACTCTTTAGATTTTTGATTATTGTATGCCCTTTAGGCTGGGGGCCCGTAGCGTTTTGCTATGGCAGCCTTACGGCTGTGACGCCCCTGCATACATGTGTTGCGTATGTGGTTATACACCATAGATAGTGTTTGGTACTATCACTCGCATATATATACGAAACCGAGCGTATAATAAGAGAAACGAGTCGGTTTATATTTAGTGTTAGGGTTAGGGTTAGGGCTGGGGTTAGGATTAGGGAGTAGGCGCCTCTCTAGACTAGCATTAAATTACATTTATGTAATACAACATGAACAGCGCATGCGCAACAACTGCTCGGACGAATAGCGCATACGAACAGGTGTCCGATGCTCGGACGAATATCCACGTTCATTAACAATAACACTGGATTGCAATAGAAAGTTTACATTTGAATTTTTACAATTAACTACACTTATCTACAAAATTATCTGTAGATAATCTGTATAATAATCACAATTATCTACAGAGCAAGGTTTTAAAAGCTAGGTACCAAGGTTTTCAATTGGAAATGATAAAAACTGAAAGGTAGCATACCCTTTCTAAAAAAGCATTCTAGCAGATATCACTACTTATATTATGACACCAAAATGGTTGTATGTAGTAGTAAATGGTAGATATTCATGGTAAAATAAGTATAAAAGTCAAGGATGGTTCAGGGAAATGCAAAGAATTTGACAGTTTAGTAATGAACGACACATGCTCAAGTTCATGCGTGATTATCTGGATGTTTAAAGATACTTTACAGGGCTAATTAATCATCCTCATTACAGAGTCATTGTATTGTATACTCACTGCATAATCAGTGAACAGATGTAGAGATTTGAATCAAATCATGTTTCAGCCATATAACAATCTATAAAGTATGAAAACAACAATTGACCAAGCACCACACCATTGGGTACACCCGATGAGATAGCAATCGTAGCAGATGCAGGGTGCGAAATTAACGCGAGTCCGGAGTCAAATACTCCCTGATTTGACATATGCAGGAGTCCGTGTGACTCCCTGAAAATTCTGCTATAGTAACTAGTTCGTTCCAGAGCATGGCCTCCCTGCAGACTACGAACTCCCTCATTTTCCTGCGGACTCCTTCTTTTTGAGGGCAGGGAGTCCGTTGGACTCCCTTGTTCTAAAGTTAATTTCTACCCCTGAGATGTATTGCGGTTAACATAGACAATTTGTGTTCTAATCTTTATGAAGGCAGAAATCCAGTAAGGAATAAGCATCCAATCCCAGATGATCAGGTTTGAAAATGCAAAGGTTATGAGAGACCTTATCAAAGGCCTTGCCAAAGTCTAGAAACACTGCATCAATCTATTGAGACTTAGCAATCAAGATTTTGTGTCCTGCCATGAAGAACATTGATTAACTGGGTAATAGTGGAAAACCCATGTTAATGATGAGACAATAAATTGAATAATATTTACTAATCAAGGTTTACGTTAAAACAACTTACTACTTACAAACACATTAGGTTCACTCTTGATTGCAAAGTGAGGGAAAACTATGCAGCAAACTGCAGCTCTCAGTGATCGTAGATAAACTTGCACGACAAAGTATGGACCCTCCCTGTCAAAAATGACCATGACATTAGAATGTCCAATTTGTGTTACGAATCAAAAACTCATCGCTCATATTTTTAATGTGTGCGCATCAGCCATTGGTTGAGGCCAATGACGTGTAATCAGTCTCGGGTCCCTGATGAGTGTGAGTGAATGAGCAAAAGGTTGTGCAGAACTACAAGTCATAGCAGTTGGTTAATTATAGACAGGAAAAAACTGGTGGTGTGTTGTGATTCACACTAGTGTACAATACATTAATGGATGAGTATAATATGTTGACATTATTAATTGCAGAATGAACGTCAAATGTGATGGCAAAGAGTACACACAAGAAGAAGGAGGTAAAGAGTTGGGCACATCGGATAAGAGAGATAGTAATTCTTCCATTGCAGCTAATAGAGGAAAATCCACCTATAACTGTGAAAGGTATAAAGTTGATACTCTCTCCTATAAATTATGCTTGCATATTCACCTGGGTAGAGCCAGGTTTTCTGAATAATTTGAATGAAAAGCAAAAAATGTTAAAAATAGAATAATAAATGGTAAATAGCAATGACATGACAAGAAGTAGATAATACCTGATGATTGAATAAATAATGTTTTAATAAAACAGAGAGGTAAATTCATGGTGATGAAAATTCATATGGGAAGGAAAACTAATGCATGTAACGAAGCTCTGAACACAGTCTTACTGATCTGTGTTATTCTACACTGTAGGTGGTGCTGACGTTGGCCAGTTTGTGTGGGTAGCAGACGTTAAGCAAGATAGGCTTCATTACCACTCAGGCAAGCTGCATCCAGATGACCTGCTGCTAGAAGTGAATGAGCAGAAGGTTCCTGGACTTACCCAGGCTGACACTCTCAACTGGATTCAGCTCTGCATCACGGGAAAGAGCCCAGCTATATTCAAAGTTGTCAAGCCTTCAGGTAACTCGGACTGTGTACCTTGTTCACATATATCTGTATTATCCACCACAACTAAAAATTGTACAAGAAATAATGACCACCTATCTCAATTCAGATACATTGCCTTGTGATGAGTGATTCTGTGAACTTTGAAGCTTCTAAATATTCCCCGTTATGCTGTGTTTACCATTTTGCACTATGATTTCAACTTTTTTTTGTTCTGCTTGTGATTGCACACTAACCTAACTATTTTGACAAATGTACTATAGAACCTCTGCTCAAAACTCCATAAACTATGCAAATCTCAGAGGATACTTTTGCTTTATATCCATGGATCCTGGCCACTAAGCAAATATTTGAAAGAGTAGTCAATTCTGATTGGCCTGACTATGTGAGTGAATGATATGAGGTCAGCATTTTCCACAGACGAACCAGTTTGTTTATTCATAGTTTACTTTGCTCAGGTAGAATGGTACTGTATAGAGCTAACATCTAAGCACTTTCTAGGGTACATTTGTGTGTAACTTTGGCCTCTTGATCGCTTTATGAAGCTTTCTTGGTAGTAATGAATTGGTGTCTATGTCTATTCAGACTGTGTCTATGCCTCGGGGTTTCTGTGTTATTAGTATCCCATCAGGTGGCGTACATCCAAATTCACGGCATGATGTATCTATAGATATATATATATATTTTAAAGTTTGTACAGTATGTGTGAAAACATAATATTAGGAGGGAATAATAATAGAATTATTAATCGTCTACTATTATTCACTCATGATAATATATTAGCGTCGGGCATGTTGCAGTGCTGAAAATCCTCATTTTAATTAACCTAACTGAAACTAGACTAAAATAATCATTGGAGTAAATTAGGAAAATTGTACTTCACCTATAAATTTCACCCTCCTACTCGTCCTGTTATGTCTGTGCTCTCTCAGTTGCTGCTATACAGTTCAAAACATGTTAGTAGTACTTGCCATCGTTGCCCTACAGACCTTATGCGTACTGGAATGGTATGCTAATGTTTTGCACTTACACGTTTGATTATAATGAGAGTATACTGATGATTTTAGTGGTGATTAGCTCTACCGGTGTAGCCCCTTCGCTCCCGCTACAGGAAGAACTGCTCGCATGTAGCAGGAGCGAAGGGGCTACCCTGGTAGAGCTAAGGGGTGCTTATCTCTGCTGTAGCAGGAGCGAAGGGGCTACCCTGGTAGAGCTAAGGGGTGCTTATCTCTGCTGTAGCAGGAGCGAAGGGCTACCCTGGTAGAGCTAAGTGGTGCTTATCTCTGCTGTAGCGGGAGCAAAGGGCTACCCTGGTAGAGCTAAG